CGAGGCGCTGGTTCACAACCCGCTGAACGTTTTCCACATCACAGTGGCGGTCGAGGACGTGAATGACAATGCGCCGCGCTTCCTGCAAGACCATTTCCAACTGGAGATCAACGAGTTGACTTCTCCGGGCGCCCGATTTTATTTGGGCATGGCAGAGGACGCGGACGTGGGCAGTAACTCGTTGAAAGGCTACGATCTGGAGACGAACGAGTACTTTGCTGTGGACGTGAAGGAAAGGCAGGATGGCAGTAAGTTCGCGGAGCTGGTGCTGCATCGCTCCTTAGACCGAGAGAAAGAGCAGAATCTGCATCTGCTGCTGACGGCTGTGGACGGCGGAGACCCGCCACGGACCGGAACGGCCCAGCTCAGGATCAACGTCACGGACGCCAATGACAACCCACCCGTGTTCGCGCAGGATCGGTACCGCGTCAGCCTGCGTGAGGACACGCCTCCGGGATCAACGGTGCTGAACGTGTCAGCCTCCGATGCTGATGCCGGCACAAATGCCCGCCTCACATACAGCTTCGGGAAAATGCCGGCCAAAATGCTTCAGAAGTTTTTGCTGGACGCAGAGAGGGGGTCCATCACGCTGCAGGAGGCGCTGGATTTCGAGGATACACGCACATTCAGCCTGGCTGTGGAGGCCAGGGACGGGGGCGGTCTAGTGGCGCATTGCGAAGTAGAAGTAGAAGTACAGGACGTGAACGACAATCCGCCGGAGGTGACGCTGACGTCAGTGTCGAGCCCAGTGCCTGAGGACGCACCGGCTGGCACCGTGGTGGCCCTGCTAAAAGTGCGGGACCGAGACTCGGGCGAGAACGGTCAGGTGTCGTGCGAGCTGTCGGGAGAGGCGCCGCTGTCGATCGTGGCGTCGTCGGGCGGCTCGTACAAGGTGGTGACGGCGAGCGCGCTGGACCGCGAGCAGGCGTCCGAGCACCGCGTGACGGTGGTGGCCCGGGACCGGGGCAGGCCGGCGCTGTGGAGCAGCACGGAGCTGGTGCTGGAGGTGTCGGACGTGAACGACAACGCGCCGGTGTTCGAGGAGGCGGCGTACAGCGCGTACGTGGCGGAGAACAACGCGGCGGGCGCGCTGGTGCTGCGCGTGCAGGCGCGGGACGCGGACGCGGGCGCCAACGGGCGCGTGAGCTACTGGCTGGCGGGCGGCAGCGCGGGCGCGGCGGGCGCGGCGCCGCTCGTGTCGGTGGAGGCGCGGAGCGGCGCGCTGTACGCGCAGCGCTCCCTGGACTACGAGCAGTGCCGCGAGTTCACGGTGGCCGTGCGGGCGCAGGACGGCGGCTCGCCGGCGCGCAGCTCCACGGCCACGGTGCGCGTCTTCGTGCTGGACCGCAACGACAACGCGCCCCGGGTGCTGTGGCCGGCAGCGGCGGGAGGCGGAGCCGCTGCGGCGCCGGGAGAGGCTCCGGGAGCGGCGGCGACTCCTTTCGAGGTGGTTCCGCGTTCGGCCGAGGCCGGGTACCTGGTGGCCAAGGTGGTGGCGGTGGACGCGGACGCGGGGCGCAACGCGTGGCTGTCCTACGAGCTGGTGCCGGCGTCGGAGCCGGCGCTGTTCCGCGTGGGGCTGCACAGCGGCGAGGTGCGCACGGCGCGCGCCGTGTCCGAGCGGGACGCGGCCAAGCAGCGCGTGGTGGCCGTGGTGAAGGACCACGGGCAGCCGGCGCTCTCGGCCACGGCCACGCTGCACGTGGTGCTGGCCGAGAGCTTGCAGGAGGCGCTGCCGGAGCTGAGCGACAGAGACGCTGTGTCCCACCTGACGTCTGATCTGAACCTCATTCTTGTTGTGTCGCTCTCCGTGGTGTCCTTATTATTTGTTTCCACGGTAATTTTTGTTTTTTTCTTTAAATTTCGACAGTCCAAGAGCCCTCCCATATTTATAACTTCTGATAAGGAACTGTATTCCACCTTGGGTTCAAAAGCACCGTACAACTACTGTAGCAGCACGCTACCCTTGCCCTATTCCTACGACGTGTGTTTAGCTTCCGAGTCGGGGCAGAAGGACTTCACGTTCCTGAGACCAGCCTGTCGGCGGAGGAGCTGCTGGGCGGCGATTCCTGCGAGAAGCCGAGCCTGAGTAGTAGCGCCGTAGGGGAGGAGGTGCTCGCCAATCCCGACCTACCGCAGGTCTGTAAAACCGTAAGGTCCTGGTCTTCTCCTTGAGCCTTTCTTAACAGGCTTTCTCTTTTTCCCCCAGATCGATAAGCTTGTCGAGACTTAGGCATTATCTGTTGGTCAATGCTATTTCAGTATTTTTACTGAAAGGCAACAAGCATCTGGCCCTGTTGATTGAGAAGTTGCATGTTGTTCTAACCTTCTCCTGTTTGCCCTCCCATGTTTTGAGAGAAGGCTGCTTCACGGTACTGTAAGTCTAGTGAGGCTGACTATTTTCTTCTGCTGATATTATCTGTCTGACGTAAAGCCAGGTTTTAATCCTGTTTCCAAAATTTGCCGTGTAGTGTCCCATGTTTTGAGGAAACGCTGTTTCGGGAAATGCAGCATTGATGAGATGGATATGTATTATTCACTCATGATTTTTGAAAGATTTTTTAAACAGTTATTTGTCATTTTAATAGAGAACACGGATTCTTGTTCTGCAGAAAGATATCCGCTGATTCTGCGTAATAGGATTATGAAAAGGGAATTAATACTCGGGGTTTGTTGGATGGAGGGGCCGTGTGTTTGGTTGTTGTTTGTTTTGTTTGGTCTGTTTTTTTCCCTGAGATGTGTGCGTTTTCAACATGAAAGGAGAAGTTACAGGTTGTTCCTCCCTGGTGGAAGAGTGTCGAGTATATTTGGGGATAAGTTTTCTTCAGGAATGGTAGGTGGGATTGGTTACTTATTGCAGTTATTATTTTTGTCTGCAGTTCTTTTGTCTTTTTTTTTTTTTTTTTTTTTTTTTTTACCACCCTCTTTCTGGTGAAAGCCTAGGTTAGGACCTCAAAATCAAAGCAAAGCAAACCCAAATCATATCCCGCATCTAGTTTTATTTCAGAGCCTCTGTTTTACCCGATCCCTTCCTCTCTAAGACAGGTGTTTCGACCTGGTAGGTCATGTGGATCGTGGAATACTAAACGGAGTAATTGAACGTCAGACGCTTTTTACAGCCGTTTTTTATCTGCCTGTTTACCTGGACAGGCCTCTACACATACTAAAAATGACAAGACGTGCACTCGAATAGTGTATTTTTGCACCTTTATTTAGTTTAAAAGCTGGTCAACCCAAATGAAGGCTGAGTAATTAGGCGAACATTTTCATGGAAACATCAAGCATTTGCACTGTGATTTCTGGTAAAAGGAAAAAAATTTCCAGGTCGTTAAAAGTATCAAATTAATTGCTTAAATTTAATGTGTATAAGCTATACAAACCCTAAATTTATGTGGATTCTTAAGAGAGAGGAAACCACATATTAAAGACAATTGTTATCTGTCTGCAATCACCATCGATTTTGCTAACATGGGCCGCAGAGTAAGGATAATAACCAAGGCAGATTTACCTGTTTTTCTTCTTACCATCTGCCCCGCAGTTTGCAGGGAGACAAGCAGATGGTTCGGGCCAGGTTCACTGCAGGTGCTTGCTGCCTCATGGTCAGTTGCAGTACAGTCAGTGCGGAGTGGTCAAGTGACTTACAGCCTGAAACCGCGGGGTGGGGGAGAATGATGTACGAGCAGTAGGGGAGATTCCTCCTGCACGGTGCCAAAAGGAAGGTCTTCTACTGAGCAAAAGCAGAGCACCGAGAGGGTGTCAGAGCAACGAACCTCCTCTGCAGCTGTACGAGTATCGGGGTGTTACGGTTGTCAGTTTCAGTGGATCGACCCCAGCTTTTTCCGCCTTTAATTGTCTTCTCTAAGTCACTGCAAATGGAGTAAATAATATAACTTAGGCCGTGTTCCATACTGACTGAAAATCCATCACTTCCATCACTTGGGTTAATGGGCTCTGCTTCTCTGAGGGTGGGAGTGTGTGTGTGATTATCCCGTGATGTGTCTCACAGCAGCTATTTGTTTTTGCTGCCTCTGCGCCAGTAATCAAGAACAACGTCTCAATTTTAGGTTTTATTTTCCTAATAGGATTAGCTTTAGTATATTCTAACGTTAAACAAAAAAAATTACACAATGTATTTTGGTATCAGCAAGGGTGGACTCTGCCTTCCTGTCGGTTGGGATCACCTGGAGGATCAAATACGAGACCGTATGGAGAAAATCCGAAGAAGACAATTGCCGCGGGACGAGACCTGATGTCTCGGTGGCGACTGTCCCCTGCCCGCGAGCTGTCCGTGTACCGGGCAGGACCGCAGCGCTGGGCAGCGCTCGGTGCCTGCAGTGCCGGGCGGAGGCTGCGGGCGCCGCTGTTGACCGAGAGGAGCGAGAGGAAGCTCGGAGCGCTGCAGCCCCGCCCGCTGCGGACCGGCTCGCTCGCTCCCGCACTCTGTCTCGGCGGCTGGACAGCTTGCGAACGTCCCCGCGGTGGGGAACCGTGCTGCGGAGAGACAGAGTGGCCGGCGGCAGTGGCTCTGAGAGACAAGCCGGAGAGAGAGCGGGAATTGAAGCAGGATCGACAATACCGCGATCGAGATGTACGCGGCGGAGAGGCGCTGGAGCCGCCGGCAGAGAGTTCTGCTGTTGGGAGTGCTGATGGCGGCGTGGCAGGCGGCGTGGGGGCAGCTGCGCTACTCGGTGCCCGAGGAGAGTTTACGGAATCGAAGTAGAAATCACAGACATTAACGACAACGGTCCGAGCTTCAGAGAGGCAGAAAAAGAGCTCAGACTAAGCGAGATGATAGCGCTGGGGTCGCGGTTTCCCCTGGCCGAAGCTCATGACCCGGACTCGGGCCGGAATTCCCTGCAGAGCTACGAGCTGAGCGGCGACGAGCACTTCTCGCTGGCCGTGCAGGCGGGCCCCGGCGGCGATCAGCGTCCCGAGCTGGTGCTGGCCAAGGCGCTGGACCGGGAGGAGGCGGCGTTTCACGAGCTGGTGCTGAGGGCGAGCGACGGCGGCGATCCGGCACGGACGGGCACGGCTCGGATCCGCGTGACGGTGCTGGACGCGAACGACAACGCGCCCGTGTTCAGCCAGGCGGAGTACACGGTGCGTGTGCCCGAGGACGTGCCCGTGGGCTCTGTCCTCGTCACTATCGCCGCATATGACGCCGACGAGGGACTGAATGGGCAGGTGAAATACAGCTTTCGTAAAATTTCAGACCGTGCTTCAGAACTTTTTAATCTCAACTCTGAGACAGGAGAAATAACTGTTAAGGACGACTTAGATTTCGAGGAAATCTCCTCTTACGAACTGGAGGTTCAGGCACATGACGGGGGAGAGCTTTTTGACACAGCGAAAGTCGCAATCTCTGTGACAGATGTCAACGACAATGTGCCCGAACTGACAGTATCGTCGATAGTGAGTGAAATCGCCGAGGATGCTCAGCCTGGGACAATTGTGGCCCTGCTGCACGTGCAGGATGACGACACGGGGCTCAACGGCGAGGTGCGCTGCTCACTCGATGGGGATGTCCCGTTCCGGCTGGAGAAGAATTTTGAGGACTACTA